CGGGCACGGCGGCCGGCACCGCCCTCTCCCCTGGGGGCTTCTGCATCCCTGGCGCTTCCTCGCATCCCTCTGACTTGCAGAACGGGGCAGGGAGGTTTGCGGCGTCTCCGGGAGAGCGGAGCAGGGACGGAGTGTGTTGGTGCTGCAGGCTCTGCTTTGCAGCACTGCTAGCGCCGGCAGGGCTGAGTGAGGCTGTGCCAGCAGTAGCGGGCACAGGGCTCGCCACGCTGATGGCAGAGGGGAACCAGGCTTAGAGGAGCTGGGAGGCGGGAGCCTGGCTCCTCTCCCAGCGCCGAGGCTCGGGACAGCATGTTCAGCCGGTCAGGATACCAAGCTCTTCCCCTGGGAGACTTTGACCGCTTCCAGCAATCCAGCATCGGGCTCTACGGTGCCCAGAAGGGCTTCTCGTTTGGATCCAAGCAGGACCCTCTGGGGCAGCCCTCAAATGCAGCCGGTGAGTCCCTGAGTGCATCACGTCTGCCACAGGTTTCCCCCGCCAGCACTGGAGCTCACGGAGGGAGATGCTCCGTCAGGAATTTTGGGCTAAGGGGCTGTCAGAGCTGGTGTTGACCTTCCCTTTCCTCCTCCTGCAGATTCCGCCCAGGGCTGGCTGTCCTGGATCTGCCACGGGATGATCACGTCCTTGGTGTTCTTGTTGATGCTGGCCACCTTCCCCATCTCGGGCTGGTTTGCCTTGAAGGTAGGCAAGGGCAGAAGGCAAGGAGTTCAGTAAAACCTGGCCCAGCTGCCCCCCCACCTTAGGATGCAGCCCTGTATCCAGACAGCGAGGGTCTGCTCTGCCATTGGATGACCCTATGGATCTGTGGTAGACCACAAAGGGGTCAACTCCTGCAACCTGTGCCCTGGTGGATGCAGGGACCGCCAGTGGATAACTGCAGCTTGGTGGTTCAGCATCAAGCTTCATCTGGCCCCCAGGGCAACCCTGCACAAGCTTTTCCTGACTTGGTGACATCTCTCCGTGCTGGTGGATGCCCTGACAGGAGAGACAGGATGGTTGTAGTGCCTTTCCTTGGAGGTTTGTTTCCTTTTTTATAGTTGTTCTGCTCCAAATGTGCCCTTTTCAGATTGTGCCCACCTACGAGCGCATGATCATCTTCCGCCTGGGCCGCATCCGGGCCCCACAGGGGCCGGGCATCGTGCTGCTGCTCCCCTTCATCGATCACTGGCAGAGGGTGGATCTGAGGACAAGGGCCTTCAACGTACCACCCTGCAAGGTGAGCTATCCCGTGGCCGCAGGGCAGGGTGGGGAAATGTCTCCAAAACACCCAGAGCATCTTTTTGCAGCTAGTTTTTGAAGATCTCTGGCTCCTTGCATGGGCACAACTGTCAATTCCATCTTTCCCTGTGAGGAGATGGGAGAAGGTGGTAGTGCTGTGAACCCCTGTCTGAGGATGAAAAGCATCGCTTGATTTTTTACGTCTTGTTCAGTGGATGCTCCTGGTTGGAGCCATCTCAGAAAACATCACCTCCCTCCTGTGCACAGCTGACCTCCAAGGACGGTGCTATCATCTCGATGGGTGCTGATGTCCAGTTCCGGGTGTGGGACCCAGTGCTGTCTGTCATGATGGTGAAGGACCTCATCGCCACCACCCGTATGACGGCGCAGAATGCCATGGCCAAGACCCTGCTAAAGAAGAGCCTTCGTGAGATCCAGGCTGAGAAGCTGCGCATTGGGGAGCAGCTCCTGGTGAGCAGATAGTGACAGAGGTGTAAAATAAATGTCCACTATCGGGAATGGCCTCCCCAACTGCATCCAGCCCCGGTTGGGCTGCTAAAGTCTTCTTACTCCGTTCCTGGCTCCACAGCTCGAGATTAATGACATGACCAAGTCCTGGGGCCTGGAGGTGGACCGAGTGGAGCTGACCATGGAGGCCGTGCTGCAGCCGCCCCAGGAGAGCCAGGTGGGCCCCTTGCCACCGATGCCAGGGCTGGAGGGGCTCGACAGCACCATCCAGCAGCTGGCTGCCCATCTCTTCAGCAACACGCTGGCGCTGACGGGCAGTGCCAACAGCAGCCCAGAGGCAGGTAACCAGCTCCAGCACTACCGCTCCTCTGTCACGTGTGTGTCCATCCGTCCAGTCCGATGACCTTTGAATCCACTGGTGCTTTACAAAGAGTCAAAGTCTGCCAGATATGATGTTCCTCCTAGCCCAGTGCAGATAGGCCAGCAGCAAGAGGAGAGAGGACTGTTCAGGGCACAGTTCAGTGCAATATTCAGCACAAAACAGACTTTATAACAAGACACTCAGGAGAGCGGGAATGTGTCTGTGGGCTCTGAGATCAAACGTGCTCCTGTGCTGACTTAGGTCTCGGGCAGTGCCAGGAAAGACCCTGCAATTTCTCAGATAGCCGATACTCACATTTGAGGGCAACATTTGGGTGGGATTTGGCCCAGAGACTGTCTTGCTAATAATGACACCAAGGAAGCAGCCTGTTTTAGTGGAGAGTAGTTTAAAAGAGTGCTTTAAAAAAAAGAGGGGATTGGCTGAGGTAACCACGTAAGTTTTCTTATCGAGTGCTTTGAATTGCACTGTAAAGATCAGGCAGGAGACCTACTGACCCACATATTTTTTCAGGCCCTTTGTTCATTCTAATAAGAAAAAAATGATAAGTTGAAACTGTGAGTCTTTGGCTTAGCTAAATATCTTATTTCTTCAAGTATTTTGGCTCCAGGGCAAGTAGGAAAATGAAATCTGAGGGAGGCTGGAGGAGGATATGACCTGCTGGCCCATTTTTCAGAAATTCTCCACATTTGTGCCCTGCTAAGTCTTTCAGGGAAAAAAAATCCACCTGCTGGTAGTAGGGGGAGAATAAGCAAAGGAGCTTGCACTAAGAACAGGCTAAACCATGTGTTGTTCTTCTTGCTTAGCTGCAAAGTCGCTTGTTAAGAGGATTGTTCTGCTGTGGAGACCTTTGCTGTAGAATGGCTTGTGGATCCAAGCAGATCAGCCGTATCCAGCTGACCTGCTAGCATCCAAACATTCCCGCTTCCCCTGAACCCCGCTTGTGTCCCCTTGTCCCCAGCAGACAGCGTGGAGACCGTGAACAAGGTGGAGCCGCCCACTGCTGCCGTTGCCGCCGGCAGCGCCTGGAGGAAACCGAGCGCTGACGAGCTGCTCTCGGCCGTGGAGCTCTTCCTCTCTGAGCCCTTGGTGGGCCAGGTGGGAGCATCTTACCAAGTCAACATCACCCTGCCGAGTGGAGCCCGGAGCACCTATTTCATAGACCTTTCCTCAGGTCATTGCTCTTTGTTCTGCGGGGTTGGCAAGTTGAGGGAAGGAGGAAGGGTGTTGAGGGTGGAGACGGTCACCCTGGTTGTCTTCAATTCAGTCCTTGTCAAGCTGGAGAGTGGAAAGCCCTAATAGGCGACACTGCATCCTAAGACTTGCTGTTTCCTTCTCTTCCACCTGTCCATGTCCTACAGGCAGCGGGCGAGCTGGGCGCGGATTGCCAGAGGGCAGCCCCGACGTGGTCCTGGAGATGTCAGAGAAGGACCTGCAGGACCTCTTCCTGGGTGAACTTCGTCCCTTGAGTGCCTACATGAGCGGGAGGCTGCAGGTGAAGGGCGACTTGCACGTTGCTCTGAAGCTGGAGGAGCTCCTCAAGGCCATGAAGCAGCGTAGATAGAGCACGTGTGTGAGTGTGTGTCTGTGTGTCCATGTGTGCATGTGTCTTCATAGGTGTGTGAAAGGCAGGAGGGATGGGAGTGAGAAACCCCTGGGGACCTCATCTGGAAGAGGCCGGTGGTGATTGGCATTGGACTGGGAAGAGTTTGGGGACACTGGAACCAAGTTGGCTTGATGGAGCAGTAGTCATGGGCGTGGGGTGGCACAGGCAGGAGCACGTGGGTGGCTGGCGCAGCGGAAGGGGGACAACCCAGTCAGCACTGGATGCCACAGGTGGGCTTGGGATCAGGTCCAGCTTGGCAGGGCTGACCCCAGTGTTTCCAGGGGAAGGAGCAGAGGCAGCAAGTTAGAGAGGGATCTACCCAGATGTGCCTGGGCCTTCCCGGCACCGACATCTGTAGCAAGTGATTGCGCTAATTTGTGCTTCAAAGTGCTTTTGCATGTGTGCTGTGAGGTCTGTCCGCAGGGAGCGTGTCGACTGTATATAGGCGTATATAGATACCTATTTATTTTGTAAGCTTCCTTTCTATCAGCTCTGGATGGACAATAAACCAGTTCTACGGCCTTGCCTGCGGACAGAGAAGGTCTGGTGATTTGGGGTGTGTGGCCAGACCCAGGGGGGCTGTCCGCTCCTGCCTGCCATGCTCCATCCCTTGGTGCCTCAGTTTCCCCTGTGCGCACCCAGGGGTCCCACGGCACAGTGTGAAACACGGTGCGGTGTGCGTGCGGTGTTAGAGCATTTCTGAGCTCCAGGCAGCGCCAAGCAGTCCCGGGATGTTTTTCAAGACTCCTTTGGCAGGTCCTTTGGCTGACCTGCCTGTGCCAAGCTGCTGCTTCCAGAGGGCTCGTCCATCACTCCGGACCCACAAGTAGGCACGGACGTGCCACAGGGTGCTGCCCCAGGTGTGCGTGGAGCTACAGGAGCAGAAGCATGACATGGAGCAGAGCTATAGGACCAAAAGTTCATGCACAGGCCTGGACTTGTTGTCTCAGAGCTTGGCCGGGTGGGTCCTGCCACTTTGCAGGCACTCAGGAACTGCTGGGCTGCTGCAGGGCCAGGGGGGCAGCAAGGACTCTAATGTCTCATGGCCACATGCAGGCCACAGCCCCAGCTAAAGCTCTTCTCTGAGGCCTTGGTGACATCCTTGCAAGAGCAAGCTGCCTGGCACGCAGATGGCATGGGCTGGTGCTCCCTGGCATGCCAAGCAGGACAATGCCAAGGGATTGCTCTGTCCTTCCTTCACCCCCTTTCCCAGTTTGCTGAGCTGGAGCTTGGGAATTTGCAGGCAGATGCTGATGCTTCCTGGTCCCTGCTAAGCCCCACGCAGAGGGAGTTGCCTCTGTGATGCTGCGGGTTTGGTGTGAGCCCTCCCCATGCCCGGGGACAGGCAACCTGTGCAGAGTGGTGCTGCCTGCAGAGGTGGCAGTGTCACCTGTGCCCTATCTCCCCCCAGGCTTGACAGCCCGGGCATGGCCTCGTTGTGCCTTTGTGGTGGTCCCCTTGCAGCGGTAGCAGGGAGATGCCCCATGGTGTCATACCCCGGTGCAGATCCGTGCTGAGAGGTGCACAGAGCAGAGAGCATCCAGGGCTCAAAGCTGGCCACAGTCGGGGCAGAAACTGCTCTTGCGAGGGGGACAAGCACCTGGAGCAGAGCTCTCTCCTCCGGCATATGCTGCTGGAAGAAGCAGAACCTTTTAGCACTGCCACATCTCTGCCCATGCCCTGGCTCTTGCCTTGCAGCTACCCCAACCTGGGGCAGGAAGTGGGGCCCTGCATTTCTTTCTGAGGTTTGATTTTCAAAGAAATGCCCAGACTGGCTGCAACAACAACAGAGGGGAAAAGAGAGGGGTAAAGAAACAGAAACCACTTTGGGGCTGGGCAGGCTGAGCTGGCTGGGAGGGAGAAGCACCGTGGAGATACATGTCTCTGTGCCAGGGCTGGGAGCCGTCACGAGAGGGCTCTGCATCCGTCACCACTCGAAGGTGGAGTCACTTTCAAGGCTGAAGAAATCGAAACTCCCGAGCAGAAGGAACTGAAGGGGCGCTTGTCTGGCAAGCTGAGGGTCACCAGTGCTGGCCACAACTGACGATGGCTGCAACAGGCCCCCCAAACCAGTGGAATTTGCCTCTACAGACCCAGGTGAGCTCCTGGCCAAGGCCAGGCTCTTCCCAAGGTGATGGGATGTGGGTTGGGACGGCTGGAAGGAGGCCAGTGGGGAAGAAGTTGTGGGGCTTCCACCCTCTGCAGTGGGCCGTATGCCTGGGAGGGCATCAGCATTGGCCAGAGGGCTGAAGGAGGAGTACAAAGGGGGAAAAGGCTGGGACGAAGGCATGAGGAAGTGGGGAAGAAGCCCCAGCCCCAACATGGCTCTGGCTGCGCAGTCAATGCCGCTTCCCCTCGACAAAACGTGCGCTGCGGAGCGGAGGAGGTGCCTGGGGCACGAGGAAGCCTCCATCTTAGTATAAAGACGGGAGGACTCAGGTCATTTCTGAAGCGCCCCCAAGCATCTCCTCGGGACGGAGGCAATGGGGAGAAGAGCCTGGGCTCTGAGAGGCTGCCTGGATGGGATCCCTCTCCTTTTGGCCTTAGCAGGGCTCCCCTCCTGCAGCACGTGGGCCAGCGCTGGGCTGCTCAAGGGGGTGGTCGCTCACAGATTGCTCAGCACGGTGTTTCACATGTCTTAGGAGTTCTTAAAAGCACTTTCTGCTCCCCAGCACTCACAACCTGTGGCTCTTCCTCCTTCCCTCTTTCCTTCTTTGCCCTCCAAGGAGTTGGAAGATGAATTCCAGTCCGTGCTGTGCGAGGGCTGCCAGAAGGAATCGCCCAACCTCAAGCTGCTCACCTGCCTCCACACCTTATGCCTCAACTGTCTCAGCAAAAAGAAGCCCACCGGGCAGTGCCCCGTGTGCCAGACCGCCATCCCAAAGGCCAGCGGCATCCCTGGCATGGACAACAAGCTGTTCACCAACCTTCAGGCCAGGCTCAGCACCTACAAGAAGATCATTAACAAAGCTGACTTGTTTTGTGACAACTGCAAGAAAGAGGCTGAGTTCTGGTGCTGCGAGTGCAAGGAGTTCCTGTGCACCCAGTGCTTTGAGGCTCACCAGAGATATCTGAAGAAGGATAATCATGAAGCCAAGAGGGTGGCGGTTATCAGGGCACAGTCAGCGAGCGACTTTCTTGAGGGTACCAGGAAGGCCAATAACTTTTTCTGCTCCAAAGAGACTCACAAGAACGAGACATCAAGGTAAGCTTCTTGGTTGCAGATGGCTTCTTTTTGTGGTGCAGTCCAAGGCAGGGGAATCATTGCAACGGATATGGGGAGAAATTTGAAAGGCAAAGAAAGAAATGTCTTTGGGCAAGCTCTGTGGTAGGTGTGAGCTGAGTGTCTCTGTCCCTCTGCTCCCCTGGTTGTCATCAGCTGGGTGACCATTCCAAGCCAGGGTTTAAGCAAGGCTCTCATTTAAAAACAAAGCTGGACCTAAGTTTTTGCACAGGTCTAGTATACAAATGGGAACAAACTCCTCTTTGGGAAACCAAATCAGACGAGGGAGATTATGTCCTGTCTCTGCCTGAAACAAGGCTTTCCTATCCTGCCCTCCTCCAAGTTTCTCATTTTCTACTATGGGTATTCTTGTGACTGCAGGAGAAGGAGGTACTCAACTAGCTGGTGCCACTGCACTGTAGCAACTGGTCAGATTAACACTTTAGCCAGCCCCAAAGAGGAGTAGAAACCCTGTAAAAGTGGTTTAACTGAAAACAAGTGGGATAGAACGAGAGCAAATGTGAGGCTCATGGTGGTAATTTACTCATGTTCAATCGTGCTGAACTGGGTGAGTTACGCTAAGAGTATGAGAGTGAACGGTGTCAATCTCTGCCTGTGCTTGGCCTGACAGTGTCTACTGCAAGAAGTGCTGCAAGGCCATGTGCTGCGTGTGCGCAGTGCTCGACATCAAGCACGCGAGCCAGCACTGTGACATTGGCTTGGAGATCCGGCAGCGGCAGGACAAGCTGGCTGCCCTCAGCCCGGTCCTCAAGGAGAAGAGAAGTAACTTCGTGGTCACCCACAGCGCCCTGCAGGCCAAGGCGGCCCACCTGGAGCAAGTGAGGAGCAAGACGCGGCAGGAGATCCAGCAGCGTGTGGAGGAGCTCGTGCAGCTGCTGCGGCGCGAGGAAGAGGAGTTGCTGATGCTGGTGGAGAAGCGGTGGGAGCAGGGCTGCCATGTGCTGGCCGGGGAGCTACAGTACCTGGACAACGTGCTGCGGCGCATGGAGGCCGGCAAGCGGCTGGTGCAGAAGATGAGGCTCTACGGCACGGATCAGGAGGTCATGGACATGCAGCCCTTCATCAAGGCCTCGCTGGAGGAGCTGCAGAGGCTGCAGCCCCCTGGGGTTGGCAGCCTGGCCCAGCCCGACAGGCACTTCGCTGAGTGCCAGGCCAGGCTGCAGTTGCTGGTGGAGCGCGTGATTGGGCACACAGGTGAGGAGATCCTCCTCCATGGGGGCTGGAGGCTGAGGGGAATGCTTCAATCCGATTTGGCCGCATTCTCCATCTGTTTCAAGTCTCTTTTCATGTGGCTTCTTTGCTCAGGGCACAGACCTCCTCTCCTTCCCCCAAGGTCTATGTTGGCATGGCTGTTCTCATCACTCCTAAAGCACCAGCTACCCCTTGCTCTTGTGGGGACAAGTTCCAGTAGGGCTGGCGAGTGGCCTGTGGCTGATGCAGTGTTTGGCTGAGTGTTTCCACAGCCTTCTAGCCATGATGCTGTGGAAGAGGCGCTGGTGCTATAACAGTGGTGAAGGCCTTGGCCTGCTTGACAGGTGAAGAGAGAAGCTGGTTACTCACGTGTTAGAAGAGCAGGGGAGAGTAGAAGGGTTGGCTTGGTCAGCTTGTGTAGCATCCTTCCAGTAAATAGGGAAAAAAGGATGGAGAGAAAGGCAGTTTGAGAGGTCTTCTGTTCAATCCCCCTGCTACTTTCAGGGTCGGTTCCCTCCTCGGCCTACTGTGGGTTTCTACCACTGAACTCTCCAGGGTGAGGTTGTGGATCACAGAAAGTCCTGTAGGAGACAAAGGATGATCTCCTGGAGGGAGTTTGGGATTTTCTGGGGACACGCTATCCAGGGAATGTGATTGGGGTAGAAGCTCCCCAAATTGTACTCTGCTCCCCATGAAGGGCTGAAACAGCATACAGCAGCGGTGCCACTCTGAGCGCTGCTTCTCACCTGCAAACAGCTGCCGCCACGATGCACGCCAGCGTGTCAGAGATCTTGCTTTCCCCTCTGCCTATCTGCGCAGTTCTGCTTGTATCAGATCATGTCGTGTAAGGCCATACCTCAGTTTCCGATCGTGTGGACATCGACATCTTCTGTGGAGCACTTTGATGTTAGCTCTTTCAAAGCGCTGTAGCAAGGCTGGCACTTGGGGCTCTCGGATGTTTCTGACTCTGTCTCTGCCTCTTCTCAACTCATTTTATTTTTCTTCTTTCAGGAGCTGCCTCTGCTCAAGCCAGAGAAAACTTCCACCCGGTGAGACTTGGTTTCTACTTGTTTTTCTCTGGAAATGTTGTGTTACAGGATTATCTGGCAAAAATTCAAGGCTAGCTTGCAGCCCTTGCAGGCAAAATGTCCTTTGCTTGACCAGAGTGGGTTTGGTTGCTGCTGTCCAGGTTCATCCTCACGTGTTTTGTTCTGAAAAGGGGTCATCTGAGCTCCATGTGAGATCCCAGGCTCTTTTGGCTGACTACTGCACCCCCTTCCCTTGTCTTGGGCTGCCTCAAGGAGTAATGCTGCAGAACCAGCTCCTGAGGCAGTATCCCTCAGGAAGGGTGAATTTTCCATGATGACCATGGCCTGTGAGAGCCAGGGCCAGGAGAGGTTTCATGCCAGAAGGAAGAAAGTGGTGTTTGATCACTCGAGTGACCTTTGAGTGGAAAAGACCATGTGGGTAAACAGCATTAGGTTTGGGCAGAGTGCAGACTAGCGTGGAAAAGCAGCTGGAAGACTACCGGAACAGACTGGGGCACTGACAGCACTATGTTACTGTAGGAAGAACCAACTTCCCCTTTGCCCAGCCAACCCCCCATTTCCAACCCACACCTTTACCTCCCCTCACTACCATCATCATCACTACATCTCCCCAGAACAGGAATCCCATGTTTTGCCCCATCTTATCTCCTTCCCAAGACTGGTATGTTGGGCATGATGGAGTAGTTTGCTGTTTGGTACTGGATTTGTTGGCTCACCCAAGTTAAGGAGACAGTCATGGTGGAGATGGCCCCAGGCAGGCCAGGGGGTCCCAGTGTCCTCTGACTACTGCTGTAAGCACCCCCAGATCTCCTACAGAGACAGCCCACACAGGACTGCTCTCACTGGCTCTGTTTCACATGGTCAGGTTGCAGCTTCAGTCGCTCCAGCGAGGAAGAGAAACGTTCAAACTGCAGATGTCCTGCCACCACAAGGGAAGGTGATGAAGTTGGAAGGCAAAGACATTCAACAGACAAAATCAGAAGTCCCGCAGAGACAAAGCAACTTGGATCAGCCTGGAACCAGCTTTCAAGTGCCTGCTGTGACTCACACCACCGGGGAAGATAGCTTACTGGATGCCATGGATAATTGTGGTGATGGGCTGCCTGAGTCAGGTAAGCAGCATTTGTTCAGGCTTGGCAGTGCTTTCTTGCTCTTCTTTTCTAAAGCAATGAAGTCATGGCTATATTTTTCAGGGGAAAGCATCGAAGAAGGACAGTGAGCAGCATCCCCACAGATAATTTTTACAAGAGGATAGTTGCTGCCCAACATATCATCTTGAATGACAAGATGATCAGCAGAGATTGCTAGGGAATCAGACTTCACTCAGAAGATCTCATCTAGTGTATACTGCATTTCAGTGACTTGGGCGGGATTAATCCTTTTCCGGGCAGGGACCTACTTGTTCCCCATCCTTACTGCTGGCCATCCAGAGCTGTCTCAGCATGATTAGGGGGGCCATCAGACTCTTGCACCCAGAATGCACGGCATAGGTGGACTGACCCACGGGCACATCTGAAAAATGCTAACTCTTTTCTATGTTGGCAGATAATGATATTCTCGGCATGAGCAGTGGTGAAGAGGACAGCAGTGATACAGAATCGTTGGTGAGTGCTGCGAGCTCCATCTTACTGTGTCAAATCCAGAATCAATAACACAGTCAAGGCTGGAGAAAGAATGTGTAGCTTGGCTTATGTCTTCACAGATGATCTCTTCCCACTTGCCCTATGCTGCCTACTGTGACCAGTCTCTGGCCCATGTTTTGTGCTGGTCTCTGTTTAGACATCATGTGGGGAGGTGCATGGATTGAAACCATGCCAGGAGCATGCTGACAAAGGCAGTTCCTGAAGCCAGCTGGGATTTTTCAGGCTGGTCTCTATTGCATCTGTGCAGTGTTCCTGCTGCATCCAGCTCCGTTCATGGCTTCCCAGCGCACGCATTGCTTTTGCTGCTAGGGCATGAGTTGAGCTGTTATTGGCAGACAGAATAGGGTCAACAGAGGGGACCATCCATCTTCTCTAACCCCTTTCATCTCCATTAGCCTATCTCAGCTTGCACTTCAGTAGCGCTCTTCTTGAAGTGTCCTGCCAACTCTCTAGAATACACGACTTCCCAGAGGTGCCACTCTGACACTTATACAAAATGTTTCCTCTTCCAGGACTCCATTCTGCTAGACGAGCCCAACTGCATGCCCGATGAGGGCACAAACCCGCTGAGCATTGCCATTGTCAACGAGAGCGTGCTTGTCTCGAGACAAGAATCCTTGCTGTTCTTTGATGTGAAGATTTCCAGTAAGATCCTAAGTGTTAATCCTAAGTGCCGCTGGCAAAGAGCATCCTGTACTGCAGCAGGCTGATCCCCACACCTGACCAGGTCTCTTTGGTGATGTCCAGGTGCTTCCATCACAACTTCAGATTTGTAAGGGAGAGGCCATTCTTGAGGCCCCAAGAGTCCTTGCCTAAGAGTTTCTGGATAGCCGGAGAGCTGGGAAGGACGTGATGCCTAAAGGGCCATGGGGAGATTTCTGCGAAATCACTCAGTCAGTTGAGCGGCCCTTGGGCTGTTGCATTTTGCACATGACGGTATGAGCCCCCAGGCTCTCTTTCCCATGGGCCAATCTCTTTTGGTCAAGGTGGATTTCCCTTTCCAAGCCCCTCCTTAGATCACCCTCAGAAAGCAGCACAAGCTCCCCCAAGGTTTTTGGCAGGGGGAATGATCCCCACTGCAGGAGGTACTAAGGGATATGAGAAGTATATTACTGAGGGCTATTAAGTGATGGAAGCTGAGGGTGTGACTGACTGCAAAAGGGTAGAAGAAATAACAAATCTACCTCTTAACTGCTACCTATGGTGAAAGCCTTCAGACGATGTTTTATTTTACTGCTAAGAAACTAATCCCATCCTCTTTCTCTTTTCCTTCATCTTCTTCAGAAAGCAAGATCGTTCAGTTGGTGGTGGTTGACAAAGAGAAACTTTTCCTAATCAAAATTAATCTAGAGGAATATTTATCCACCTCAATAGAGAAAAAATATGTTTGTCAGCCTTCCTGGAGGAGTCTCATTTCCCACCTCAAGACAGTTAACAAGCCCATCCTGGCCGGATTTGGTCTCTGGTCGCTCCCCTTCCCCACCCTCTTGAAAGCCCTGGCTGCAATGGACAAGGAACGGGAATTCAGCAATGCTGTGTATGGTTTCCTAGACATTTTGCCTCTGATTAAAGAGAAGATCCCTGGAAGGGATAATTACAAGCTGAAGACTTTGGCCAACATCTATCTCCCTCGACAGCTCACTGATGGCAACATCACTGAGAATGCGAAGGTTATGCAGTCACTATGCGAGGTCCTGGGAATCATCCCATTGACAGAACCCAGACTGATTTTCACCTATGCCAACCTGGAGTGCTTCATCTCTCTGGAGCCCTTGCTGGCTGAGAAGCTTCTCACCAAGCCATCAGCCCAAACGCTGGCTGCTCATGGTGTCGGCCTCTCTCAGCTCCTCTCTGTCTACAAGCTTGACCCCATCAAAGGGCTCCAGAACGTGTGTCGTCTCGTCAATGCAAAACGGCACAGCTCCAAAAAGAGGGTCCGAAACCTGAGCAAGAGCAAGGTCTTCTTCCAGCGCCAGCTGAAGCCAGCTGAATGCCAGACCAACCCTGCAGACAGTGATTTGCTGAAAAGAGTAAAGACTGAGAAAAACTGTTGAGAGGTGTCCAGGCCTGTCCAGAACAAGACCCTGTTTCCCATATACGGGGATAACTCCTAAAGAGAATTTACAGCTCGCATCAGCTTTACATTCAAGATTTCCTCCCTGCTCCTGCTGGGGGAAATGGTCTGATTCTGATATGTGACAGTCTCTCGCTGTCCTCTCTCATCTAAGCACTTATATGAAGGTGAAGAGCTGAGGACTAGGTTAGCTGGAATGACTTTGCTCCAGCCTTGACACCCTGTAGCCTCACTGTGCTTTAGTTTCTCCTCTGGATGATTCAAGCCAAATATAGGAAGAAATCTCTTCACGATTTCTGGGGGAGGAAGACGCTTCTTACAATCCGTCTTGCCACAGAGCCTCTGCTGCTTTGGGGATTGAGGGGCCTGGGACGCTTTGCATCCAGCTAGTCTGAGATTTGGACCTGCTAAGCAAGTGCATTGTTTTTATGACACTGTCTTCTTTGCCTTGCTTTTAAACTCAGAGATAGCCAGGGAATTGCTTGGGCAGGGGATGCTCACTGCTCTTTCTGCAGAGGCCTGCGCCTGCTTCCAGATGCAGAAGAAATAAATCATTTCTAATAATTGCTAATAATTTGTCTTTGCTCTCCATTCCCATAATAACCACGGCGGGGCTGTAAAAAGGGCCAAAGAGGCTGGAACAGCTCAGAGGTCCAACCGCACCACATCCTGGACACTGCTTATACAGGGTGGTCACTGGGGTGTTGGGTGCTGGAGGAAAGTGCATTGCAAGCAAGGGCACAACGAGGATTTGGAGGGAAGCCTCACAGCAATGAGACATGGGGTGCAGGGTCCGCAGTTGTCCCCAGATCAAGGTTTGCTGCAAATCTTCCAAATGAGACCTGTGGGTGGGAGGGAAGCAATGAACCCAGCAACCTTTGCCTAGCAGGACACATGTTCTTCCTGCACTGTCCCTAGACTCCCAGAATCACAGAATGCTTAGGGTTGGAAGTGACCTCTAGGGATCATCTAGTTCAGCCCCCTGCTCCAGCAGGGACACCCAGAACACAGGGCACAGTGTGGCATCCGGGCGGATTTTGAAGATCTCCAGAGAAGGAGACTCCCCAGCCTCTCTGGGCAGCCTGTTCCAGCGCTCTCTCTCCCTCACAGTAAAGAAGTTCTTCCTCATATGGAGGTGGAACTGCCTGGGTTTCAACTTACACCCGTTACCCCTTGTCCTGTCACCAGCCACCACAGAAAAGAGCCGGGCCCCATCCTCCCTACAGTCCCCACTCAGATACTTGAACATGTTAATCAAATCTCTCCGCCTTCTTTTTTCCAAACTAAACAAGTCCAGTTCACTTAGTCTTTCCTCATATGACAAATGCTCCAGTCCCTTAATCATCTTCATGGCTCTCCACTGGACCCTCTCCAGAAGCTCCATGTCCCTCTTGTACTGGGGAGCCCAGAACTGCCCCCAGTACTCCAGTGCGGCCTCACCTTGAACATGTTAATCAAATCTCTCCGCCTTCTTTTTTCCAAACTAAACAAGTCCAGTTCACTTAGTCTTTCCTCATATGACAAATGCTCCAGTCCCTTAATCATCTTCATGGCTCTCCACTGGACCCTCTCCAGAAGCTCCATGTCCCTCTTGTACTGGGGAGCCCAGAACTGCCCCCAGTACTCCAGTGCGGCCTCACCAGAGCTGAGTGGGGCGGCAGGATCCCCTCCCTCGACCTGCTGGCAACGCTCCTCCTGATGCAGCCAGGAGCCCATTGGCCTTCTTGGCCACAAGGGCACATTGCTGACTCATGGGTAACTTGGTGTCAACTAGGACTCCCAAATCCCCCTCCAAAGCTGCTTTCCAGCAGGGCAACCCCTAGTCTGTACTGGCGCCTGGGGTTATTCCTCCCCAGGCGCAGGACCCTGCGCTTGTCCTTGTTGAACCTCATGAGGTTCCTCTCTGCCCAACTCTCCACCCTGTCCAGGTCTTTCTGAATGGCAGCGCAGCCCTCGGGAGTGTCAGCCACTCCTCCCAGTTTGGTGTCATCTGCAAACTTGCTGAGGGTGCCCTCTGTGCCCTCGTCCAAGTCACTGATGAACAAGTTGAAGAGCACCGGGCCCAGTACTGACCCCTGCAGGTCACTACCGGCCACAGGCCTCCAAACAGATTCGGCCCCATTTATCACCACCCTCGGGGCTCTGCCACCTAGCCAGTCCTCAATCCACTTCACAGTCCACTCGTCCAGCCGCACTTCCTAAGCTTTCCTATGAGGATGTTATGGGAGACTGTGTCGAAAGCCTTGCTGAAGTCAAGGTAGACCACATCCACAGCTCTCCCATCAGCTGGTGACCCAGCTGGTCACCTCAGCATAGAAGGCTATCAGGTTCATCAGACACAACTTTCCCTTGGTGAATCCATGCTGACTCCTCCTGATCAGCTTCTTTTTCTTCACATATCTAGAGATGGTCTGTAGGATGAGCTGCGCCATCACCTTTCGAGGGACGGAGGTGAGGCTGACTGGCCTGTAGTTTCCCAGGTCTTCCCTCTTGCCCTTTTTGAAGACTGGAGTGATGTTGGTTTCTTCCAGTCCTCCGGTCCCTCCCCCTCTATCCATGACCTCTCAAAGATGATGAGAAGCATCTGAGCAATGCCTCCTGCCAGTTCCCTCAGCACTCTTGGGTGCATCCCATCCCGGCCCATAGATTTATGGGTGTCCCATTTGCCTAAATAATCCCTAACCCAATCCTCCTTGCCCAGCGGAAATCCTCCTCTCTCTTGGTTCTCTCTCTTGTCTCCAGGCTCAGTACATGGAGCCTGGGCCTAGCAGTAAAGACTGAGGCAAAGGCGGCATTTAGTAGCTCTGCCTTCTCCGCATCCTTCGTCACTAAGGCACCCTCCCCATTCAGCAGCGGACTAACGTTTTCCCTAGTCTTCCTCTTGCTGCTGATGTATTTGTAGAAGCCCTTCCTGTTGCCCCTGACATCTCTCGCTAACTAATTCCAAACGGGCCTTGGCCTTCCTTGTGGCATCCCTGCATTCTCTGACAAAGTTTCTATATTCTTCCCATGTGGCCTGGCCCTTCTTCCACATTACGTATGTGCTCTTTTTCTCCTTGAGTTTACTCAACAGCTCCTTGCCCATCCATGCAGGTCTCCCACCTGCCTTGCTCAACTTCTTTCTTATAGGAATGCTCCAATCCTGAGCTTGAAGAAAGTGGTGCTTAAATAGTAGCCAACTTTCCTGGACCCCCTTTCCTTCTAGGACCCTTGCCCAGAGGGTTCCTCCAAGGAGCTCCCTGAAGAGGTCAAATTTAGCTCTCTCAAAGTCCACAGTTGCAATCCTACTTCTTGTCCAGCTTCCTCCTCACAGGATCGTGAATTCCAACATCTCGTGGTCACTGCAGCCAACACTGCCCCCAACCCTCACATTTCCCACTAGACCATCTCTGCTGGTTAGTATCAGGTCTAGCAGCCCACCTCTCCTTGTTGGCTCATCAACCACCTGCGTCAAAAAGTTATCTGCAATGTTCTGCAGGAACCTCCTGGACCGTCTGCTCCTAGCTGTGTGATCATCCCAGCAGACATCAGGGTGGTTGAATTCTAAGAAGCAGGGCCTGGGATCATGAGGCTTCTTGCAGCTGCCTGTAGAAGGCCTCATCCATTTCCTCTGCCTGGTCAGGAGGCCTGTAGTAAACTCCCATGACCGTGTCACTCCTGTTGTCCTGCCCTTTAATCCTCACTCACAGGCTCTCAACCCGTGCTTTGTCCTCCCCTACACTGTGCTCCATACACTCCAGTTGCTCTCTCACATAAAGAGCAACTTCACCACCTTGCCTTCCCAGCCTGTCCTTCCTGAAAAGCCTAAAGCCATGGCCATCCATGGCCATGTTCCAGTCATGAGAGCAGTCCCACGATATCTCAATAATTGCAACGAGATCATAGCCCTGCAATCGCACACCCAGTTCCAGTTCGGCTTGTTTATTGCTCATGCTGTGTGCGTTTACATAGAGGCATTTGAGTTGGGCACCCAACGTGTCTCTCCTACTAGCTGGGGCAGCTGGAACTTGACCATGTGGCCTTCAGAAGTTCTCTTGTTTTCCCATCTCGCCTCTTCAGGCTTAGGGCACCCTTCTCAGGCTATGGAGTTAGGCAGCTGCAAGTGGCATGGCAGACCATTGCCTACCCCATAACCTGCTTAAAACTCCCATACAAGGAGAGCTGTTTAGAGCTGTGGTCATCCCTGGGGGTCACTTAAACCCTGCAAAATGTTTTATCTTCCTCCAAAGAGGCCTGATGCAGCTTGCAGGGTGATCTAGCACCACACCATGATGGTGGGTCACGTTTCCCAACTCCCGTTCCTTCTTGGGAAAGCAGAAGAGACGAGTGGATGCCAAATTGTCCTGTGCCACCCAAGCCAGACACCTTGAGGACACCTGGGGACCTGTGTTGCTCCTGCCACTACTATGGTGTGATGGGGGCACTGACTCCTAGGAAGAGGCACGAGTCACTCTGCTTTTGTTTGCTCTGGACATTATTTCTAGTAACGGTTGTTTCCAACACGAGTTGTCCTCCTCCGGTCCTGCCCTGGAAGCTGCTGGTGCAATTCTCTCCAGAAATGGTTAAAAGGCTGCTTGTGCAGAAGCCTTTCCCTCCCTGTCATTGAAAGCATAGACGTGCATTGGGAAGCATGTAAGGAACAGCTAGTGCCACCCTGTGGAGACTACAGCTAGGTATGGAAGAGCTTAGGATCACTATCTGCTTATCATATACACATTTCCCTCCCATGCATCTCCTCTCCTTTCTCTGACTTGAAAATGTGGAACGAGTGATGAGAACTTACTATTAAGAGTGCTGTTTCTATAGCATTGATTTCATCTAAACGTCAGCACTGGTTGGACCAACGATCTCTGCTTTTATTCCTCACTGAAGGAACCTGCTTGCACCCTGCTTCTCTGGACAGTGGTTTCCACTGGTGCAAACTGGTGGTGACACCACCAAAGACCCTTTGTAGCGTAGTCTGAGACCCAGTGGAGAAAGTGTCCTGCCAGAGCAGAAGCCATCTCTTGCCCAGGCCAAGACTGGCTTCCTTTAGGTTTAATCTGGAGAGATATAAGTGATACTGTGGCAGGCGCAGACCATAGCGTGGCCCTCACTCTGCAGCCATCGCTATAGGGGAGGGAGGGAGGAAAAGGCTGAACGTAGCGGGGCTGCAGCCTGTATTTCTCCCCTCCATTAACCCTACTGATATGTTCCTTTTCCAGCACCTCATTAGAGCCCCATCACGAGTGATTTCTGAGCCCCCGGCATGGAGCAGGGTGCTCTCAGCTGCTGTGATTTCCCCTGCTGATGTGGGTGATGGGCATCACCTGGGGTAGGAGGAGCTGAGGGGAAGTGCTGCCTACAAAAGGTCCCTGGGCACCAGTTTCAATTTGTGCTGGACCCTGGTAGGCAGGATGAGGCCTGGAAGCAGTCTGGGATTTGCTGTCTTTTGCTGGATTCTTGGTGGGGTAGTTCCTTACAACCCCTGGGGTTTCTTTAGAGGGGAGTCAGATACACAGCAGTATGGGGGAGATTTTTCTTTGGGGCAATCCCGTGCCTTCTCCCAGCCCTCCCCCTGGGCTTGGGTGGATCTCTCCCAGCTCCAAGCTGCGTCCCCGCTGCACCCTGTGGCTGTGCAGTGCCAGGAGGCTCAGATGGTGGTCACAGTGCACAGGGACCTCTTTGGCACAGGGCGCCTGGTGAGGGCTGTGGATCTGGCCCTGGGCCCGGCTGCTTGTGAGGCCGCAAGTGCCGTGGAGGACACGGTGACCTTTGTGGCCGGGCTCCACGAGTGTGGCAGCACCCTCAGGGTAAGGCTGCATCTCCTATGGCTGGAGTCTTGGTGTGGGGAGCTGGGTCTTGGCCTGAGCCTCGGTGTTTTCTTGTATAGCTGGGCAGAAGCTGTCTTGGGGCAGATTTGATGGTGCTTCCTCCCACTAGGGTGATGGGCCTGAAACCAGGCTGGCCAAGTCCTGCTCACTTGATCTCATCTTGCTGACCTTTTCTTCTATCTAGCAATGTTGATGCTACCCCTGGGAACTCCTCGGCCTTGTAAATACTGATCAGGACGTTCCTGGGGTCAAAAAGGAGCAGGGCTCCTAGTTGATAATGCAACTTGTATGTCTCCCCCAGCTGACCCCCGATATGCTGGTCTACAGCACAAGCTTGAACTACAGCCCAGCCCCTGCTGGCGACCTGGTCATCATCCGCACCAGCCCTGCTGTGGTTCCCATTGAGTGCCACTATCCAAGGTGAGTCACTGGCAAGTGAGGCTGAGATAGCCTTCCAGCTGACCTGCCAGCTGACCTGCCACCCCAGAGCCTTTAACCAAGAGCATCTCCCTTCAGGAGGGAGAACGTGAGCAGCAATGCCATCAAGCCCACGTGGGTGCCGTTCCACTCCACTCTGTCCTCTGAGGAGAGACTGGCGTTTTCCCTGCGCCTCATGGATGGTGAGTCTTGTGTGGGGAGGGAGTGACTGGATGGCCTTGCATTCCAGGGCTGGGTGTCATCTCTCCTAGACAGCTGCACTTCTGTTAGATGGCACAGCTTGTGCTTGTATTGCTGCATCTCCTGGGAATTGTCTTTGTGTGTCATGTCACTTCCTGGGTGAGTAGGTAGTTTAGCCTGTTTTGGCCCACTTGGGCAGCTGCTAGGCCTCATGCCTGTTGGGGATTTTTCTCAAATGGAGGCAGTGAGGCACAAGGGAGCTCTTTGGCCTCCCTTTCTGGAGCTCATGGTGACTTCCTCCCTTCCAGATGACTGGAGTGCTGAGAGAGCCTCCAATGTGTTTCAGCTGGGAGAGGTCCTCCACTTCCAAGCAGGGGTTGACACAGAAAACCATGCCCCTCTGAGGCTTTTTGTGGACAGCTGTGTGGCTACCCCAAGCCCAGACAGGAACTCTTTTCCTCAGTATACTCTCATTGACTTCAGTGGGTAAGAACTGGCTGTTTCTTTACTTGAAGATGCTTCTTTGTGTTGGGTATGGATATCTACAGCAGAGGAAAACTGATGACCATCTCTTGTGTCTAGATGCCTGATTGATGGGCAACTGGATGATGCCACCTCAACTTTTATATCCCCAAGACCCAGGCAGGATGTGCTTCAGTTTGTGGTAGATGCTTTCAAGTTCACAGGAAACTCCAGTAACCTGGTAAATCCCTCCTCAAAGCAAGTTGTCTCCTTGGTAGGCTAGGGATGTGAGCTCAGTCCACAGACAAAATAAATGAGGGTTTGTCCTGGAAATGTAATTTTAGGTAAATGCCTTGTAGCTAAATATGAATGAAGTCCTTTTTCATTGCTGCTTCTGGCTGTCAGCCCTCTGATCTAAGGCTGCTTCTTGGAAACCTGATACTGGTCGATTACTGCACTCTCACCTCTTGGCTGGTTCTGATAGCATTTGGTTATTGGAAGTTCCTTGAAGTAGGAGGAAATAAGCTAACCTGGGGGGAGGGTGGGTCCATTAGAGACTGAAGTCATGCATGGGCTGCTTGAGAGTTGGGTATATGCCAGAAAGGCAAGTGATGGCTGAATACCCCTAACCTGCCTGCTGTCCCCAGATCTACATTACCTGCCACCTGAAGGTCTCCCTGGCTGACCAAGCTCCAGACCCTCTGAACAAGGCTTGCTCCTTTGACAAAGCCAGAAGCCTGTGAGTAGCTGGAATAGTAACTTACCCAAGGGTGAAGAGATTGGGTGTCTCATCTGGGATGCCACTGTGCAAGAAGCTGCATCTGGTTTGAATGGGTGGCAGGGGAGGGTTGGGGCTCCTTCTAGGAGATTTGAAAGGCATGGGAGGAGTTCCTACAGCATGGCAGGCTGGTCACCCAGCTCTCTTCCAGCTGGACTCCTGTGGAAGGCACCAGGGATATCTGCTCCTGCTGTGAGGTGAGGAATTGTGGCTCAGCTGCATGGTCCAGGAGGCTTCATGGTGCCTCCCAGAGACAAGGAGGACGCTTCAGGAGAGAACTGTCCTCTCCGCCTAGTAGGTGGTTTTATATATTTCTTGTATGCATGCTTCCTAAATACTGTCACCACAACAGCTACCTTGATCAGACCTGGGTGGCTAGAGCTGCCTCACTACTTGTTGGCTCCTCAATGCTAATCTGCCTTGGGAGAGCAAGTGCTTTCATGGGTCTATATGCTCATGTGTTGCTTTCTCAGATCCTTTGAAAGAAGCAGATGTTGTGGTTGGGCCCCTCCTTGTCTACAGCTGGCAGGACCACTCAGTCCTGAGGATGCCTTCCCAAGGTAGGGTGGGCTCAGGGAAGGGGGGTAGTATCCACAGGAGGTCCCAATCCTGGTCATAACCTCCTCCTTGTTTTCCTTTCTAGATCCAAAAGTTTCCTTCTGGATGGTGTTGGGACTGGTTGCAGTTGTTGGTTTTGTTGTTCTCATCCTTGCTGCTCTAGGAGCTCTGACTATCTGCCAGAAATCCAGCAACTCCATTTAAATCACTGTTTTGAACTTTTACTACTTATCTAATAATAATAAAAAATAACCTGAAGGACTGTGGGATGCTTTCAAGGGGCGTGGAGAGCTCTGCTGGGGATTGAGTGACCTGGATCCTGATACTAACTCTAATGGTCTGTGCTCCCTTGCTTCCCTGAATCTCATTTGGGTCTCAATACTCTCCAGAAGCCCTGCCTTGAGCAGAGCTTTGTACAACCTGTTAGTGTCTCAGGAGGAGCTGAGAGCCCCAGGCTTGTGACTTCTGCATGTGTTCTTATTCTTAGAACCATGCTATTGCATTTAGCCTTAACATATTTTGCCTGCCTCTGGAGCCAGCTGGGACTGCTCTGTGCTGGTAAATATTCACTTATGCTGAAATGGAAGACATTTAAAGCCAGAGGGAGCTAAGGATTTTGTAAAACCTGGAGCATATGTAGGCTTGTTCCTTAAGCAAACAGCATGTCTCACAGCAGTGGTCAAGACGGTAAGTGCATCCTTAAGAACAGTGCTTTTGGTACCCTTGTGACAAATGGGCAAGGACTTCCACTATAAGGGAAGTTTCTCTCCTTTAGCTAGGTTATATTGAAGCCTTCACTGAGGGAAGACCATCTTTCTAGAGTGTATACCATTACTTATCTACTTCTGTATGTAGATTTGCTTAAAAATCTCTCTGGGTAAAGAGACAGATAAGTTGCTTTAGACTTTCTGCTGATAAACTTATGCTCTTTTCAAATTTCTTCAATAACTTGTCATAGTCCAATAAGTCTTTCGAATCCTTTCCACAAAGTGTGTCTAGTTCTGTGTACACAGATCGAGCATAGTTTCTGTCTTTTAAGCATGGGTGTGAAAACACTAAGGCTCTGATTTCTTGGTTGCCATCAAGGTGACAGCAAGATCTTGGATCAGAGTGGTATGAGGGTGAACAGGGAAAAGCAGAGTGATGGTTTAGTTTGAGCTGAGCTTGCCTTGATCTGGAGTCTCACCCTGAACAAGGAAAAGAAGATGCTGGAAGTGATTAATATTGCCCACCTCTATTCAACTTGATTATCCTCAAGTCTCAAAAAAAAAAAAAAAAAAAACTCCTTACTGATCCTTCATGCCATGACTGGCCACCTTAGCCCAGAGGCTGCAACTGTAAAAACCCATGTAGCAGAGTAGAAGGAAACAGATTAATCTCCCACTGGAATGGGGAAGTAGGACCAGATGCCAGGGACTTTGGCCTGTCTAGGGCACAAGGAAGTGGCTCCTAATGTCTCTTCACCAAAAGCTAATCTCACACAGGGCTTCCTGCACTTAAGGGCTACCTCTGCAGATGCTTTTGTTAAAAAAGCTGAGTTTTGCTGGTTGAGGGAGGGAGCATAACAGCTACCATGAGCTGTAGCGGCTAGGGCCCTTCCTGGGATCGATGAAGGCAGGAATTCCAGTCCCTGCACCAAGGACTGTTTATACATTTTACCCAAGGCTTGTTACATATAAATATGTATAAACAGTCCTTGGTGCAGGGACTGGAATTTCTACCCCCACTCCCTCTAAGAAGGGGGCTTGAGCTATTACTGCCTGGCTTATGTTTGCTTTATTCTTCCTGCTCCTGTAAAACGTACTCCTTTCCTCAGCAGAGTGGCTTTAAGTGGGGCAAATTCTTGCCCCTGTCTCGGTATCTCTATCAGCATGAGGAGAGGGTTGCACTTCAGATTAGGAGCCCTGAGACTGGAGCATCCCTGGATTTAAAGAGGCTGGTTGGGCACTGAGCAGAGCCCACATGAGCCATGATTTCAGGCTCTCCCTACACTGCTCCTTGGCCATCACTATGGCTGTCCCTTGGTCTTCCTTCTGCCCAAACCATGGGCTCTGGCAGATCTTCTTCTTTCAAAGCCACCTTGTGCTTCACTTCTGCAAAACTCATCAGGCTCTTAAGAGGTTCCCCCTGCTCACCTGTAAGGTCCTACACCCACACAACCAGGCTGGAAGGGGCTGTTTCTCCCTATGCCCACCGTGTGCCTGTGCTCTTCCACAGTTGTCCTCCTCCATGACCAACTTCATGTTACTGTTGGAACGATCAAGGGAGAGATGGTCACGTGGGAAACTTGGCAAGAGCTGCTCTGGGAGCAGAAATTCCCTGTCTCATAGACAAGCATCTGCTCTGAGCATTGGCACGTTCCTCTGCATGAAATTCACCTCTGCTAATTTTAGCCTCGTAAATACGAGGTGACCTGTCAAACAGTCCTTTTCTTCTGGGGATGACCACCCTGGTACCCCCTAACCTAATCCTGGGACTGGTACATGAGCTGTGGCTCCCTAGCTGCAGCAGCAAGAGAGCACAGCTGGCCTAATCTCAGCAAGCTCCTCTGGTCCTTGCAAGTCAAGGTCACGGCCAAGTTGGCTGCCTTCACTGTCATGCTTTCCCCTTGCTGATTGAGGAAGGGGGGGGCAGATGTTTATTTACTGATTCAGCATCAGTTGCTCATGTTATCTGCTGTCAGTGCAAATGTGTTTGCCAAATACACTCTCGAGACAGAGGCTCCCTGACGCACAGCGTTCGGCTTGCTGCCTACATGCTGGAATCCCTGGTATTTCTACGCAACCGCCAATCTCAAGGTATTTTAAACATGAAGGCGAAGCCCTGGCTGTGCTGACAGCAGCATGGAGAGGGATCTGTTCTGTACTGGGAAGAGCCAGCAGGAAAGGCCTGAGGTTTTGCAAAGGCTCGTGGCTCACCTGCAGTGTGATGTGAATGTGGGGTCTTTGCACAGACACTTTGGGGACATGGGGACAAGGAGCCTATGTGCTCGAATTGGCTTGGTTTCTGCCCCATTTGGACATGCTGTCCAGTTGATGTGGGCCTGGCAGTGCGTGGTAGCCATCCCCCAAAGATGGGGCAAGGGGTAAGAAACCAGGGAGCGGAGGGACTTTTTCCATCATGAGGCTGCGGTTGCATTGCTCCATCTCAGCCATCTAAACCAGAGGCTTTCTGCTGCCCAGGGACTTTCCAAAGAGCAGAGAAGGAGTCACAGATGTGCAGGGCTGGGCACTGCTGGGGCAGGTGGCTGGGGGCACATCAGGGGTCCGTGCACTGTAAAAACCTTTCCCTTGGCCTGTAGCTAAGGACACTCAGGAGAAGGAACTGACTCAAGCGTCTGGGCCTGGGAGCACGTAGGTTTTCTTCTTAGCATCTTCTCTTATTCCTTTTCCTGATCACCTTGGCATTGGTCCGAGCAATTTCCAGCTCCGGCCGCGGGAGGTGGACCCGAAAAGATGGTGCTGTCCCTTGGGGAAGGAGAGAGGGGAGCAGTGCGACAGGTGGAGCAGCTCTCCTGGCTCCATGTTCGCTTCTGGTCCCGTCTCCTTGAGGACACCAAAACAAACACTACCTAAGAAGACGGGGAAGAGCAGCAGAGATTAAAAAAAAAAATTAAGCTGTGTGGCAGCTCTCCTTGCTCGTGACCTCACTGCCAGCTACACTGGGGGGGATGAGGCCGTATCGGCTCAGCTGAGGACGGCCGTGCTTGTGTCTGTGGTGACGGCACAGGTCAGTGCTGCCTGCATGTCCCATGTTGGGACCGTGCACAGAGTCACCACGGCTGGGCTGGCCAGGCTCTGTCTCCCTTGGCACAAGGAGAGCGCGATTGGGAAAGAACGGAAAACCCGCGTGCTGGGAGCGAAGGATGCGGAAGCGCCCGGGGGTGGGGACATGGAGCAGCCCCCCCCAGGCCCTGCCGCTCCGCTCCCCTCCCCAGGGAGCCTTGAAAGCCCCTTATCGCCCCATGCAACCTAAACAAGTCACGTTGTACCCGTCTCCCCGTCTCCGGCTTCTGCGAGTTTTATAAACAACGTGGCGCAAGAGGCTGGCGGGGGTGTTTTCCCTCACCTTGGGCAGCCCCGCGTGGGGGGCTCAGGCACCCCGCAACTGCGCTGACCACAGAGGGACGGACTTTGGGTGCCATTGGTCCCCACCACCCTCGGAGCTGGGGGGCGGACGGCTCCGTGCGGGATATAAGGGCCTGGGTCTCGTGTCCCCCTACACGCCTTGGTTCTTCTCGTGGGGCGAGGCGGCTGGCCACAGGTGGCGGGTTGACCCTCGCGCCTGGTCGCGCTCGGACGAGGCCCAGTCACCGGCCGTCTCCGGCAGGCGCCCCGTGGCCGTGCAGTGCCAGGAGGCGCAGATGGTGGTCACCGTGCACCGGGACCTCTTCGGCACCGGGCGCCTCATTAATGTGGCGGACCTGACGCTGGGCCCAGCCGCCTGCAAGCACACCTCGCTCAATACCGTGCTCAACACCGTCACTTTCGCCGCTGGCCTCCACGAGTGCGGCAGCATCGTGCAGGTAAGGAGCCTCTCGGTCCTGCGCTTGGCCCGCCGCCAAGGTGCCCTTGTGGTTCCTGAGCTCCTGCTTGAGGGCTTGCTGCTCTCCTCTCCTCTGCTTTGGATGGGCAGGGAGGTTAGGGCTATATGGCTGTTGACTTGGGAGATCCCTCATTTCTGGGGTGAATCCTGGTGTCCTTCCCTCCCCACATCTTCGTTGTGGGGCTGAAGGAGGCCTCAGGAGAGAAGATGATTGCGGGCTCATCAGCGTCGGGACCCTTTTCCTGTGGCAGCCCAAGGGAGGTTGTGATTAGGTGCCACGGGTGGATTTACCTGTGCTGCAGGTCCCGCTATGTCCCTGGTTTTCCCCTTCCCCAGGGCACAGCTTCTTTCCCTTCAAACTGTGCAGGAGCTCCCAAAGCAGCTCTGGGCTCCAGGTCCTCAGCCCGGCTGGGGTGCCCCTGCTGTCCCCCTCCTCCTGCACATCCCCATGAGTGCAGGGTCCAGCAAGAGTGGGGCAGCTCTCACCCTCCACTGTCCTGCTGCTCTGCTCTCCGCAGATGTCTCTGCCAGGTCCAGGCCTCTTCCAGTGTGGGAGCCCAGCATGCAGCAGATCCTGGTCCTGCAAAGCCAGGGGTGCCCTGGGTGGCACAGAGCAGGGGCATGAAACTTCCTGGTCAGAGATGAGCAGGTGTCTCTGC